GCCCATTCTTCCACAAACAGTCTTCAAATCTTGAAGGTTTCGTGGACCTCTTCTATGAACTCTGATCTTTAGTTCTTTCCATAGATTTTCTGTTGGATTCAGGTCAGGTGATTGGCTGGGCCATTCCAGCAGCTTTAGTTTCTTTCTTTTTGTAAATTTGTGAAAAACAAAAAACTCTTAAAACTTAGATTTAAGAAAAAAAAAACAGGAAATTTTCTTAAGAAAAAAAATCAGAAATTTCCTCAATTAAAGGCAGAAAGTTTTGACATTTAAACTAAACATTTTCTGTAATCTCTACGTTTTATTTTTTGAAAAAGAGAAGATTAAAGACGCACAATGTAGTGAAAACAGGTTGAATCACCCTTTAGCCATTCGTGAAAACTTCATAATTTTTCTTGTAAATTTCTGACTTTACAATGTCAGAAAATATTTAGTTTCATTGTTGAAACTTTCTGCCTTTTATCATGAGAATTTCAGTTTTTTCTCGCAAATTTACGACTTTTCTAAATGAGAAATTTTCCTGTTTTTCTTGAAAATTTCTAAAATTAATCTCAAAATTTCTGATTTTTTTTTTCTTACAATTTTACAAGTTTTGGAACTCAGAGAATTTCCTTAATTTTTCTGAAATCTCAGAAGTTCTGATATTTTTTTTGCTGGTGATGTACTCCTTTTTATCTGCAAATTGGCCCTAATATGCCGTCGTATCCCACAGCTTGAACATAGAAATACAATTTTTTTGTTTTGTGTGAAAACTGTTCAAAACTTTTCACTTTATCAACACTTTGACTTTTTTTCAGTTTTCCTTTCAGTTTAGTTGTTAAAGCTCTAAAGTTCACTGACTGTATACAATAGTGTGCATTGCCAATGCAATGCACACTATTGTGATTCGTTTCCCATCCAAGTCGTCTCAACTTTGCCATGCTTCTCCTCCTGCATACTTTGTCCTAGAGCTGCCATTGTAATTTATATCTGTAAAACTCCTCTACCAAATGATGGCTATGCCTTTTGGTGCTTGTAAAACTTGTAGTATTTGTAATATTAATGTTTAATGAATTATAATGACAGTCAATGGAGCCTTGTATTGGTCCAATACTGCCCCCTGCTGCATCTACACAATATGGTACTGCACCATAGTTTCATAATATTTAAACTCAGTAGTTCAGTGATTACAATATTAGTATGATTGTATTTTGATGTTTTACTGTAATACTGTCTTTATGTTGTCCTATTGCTGTAATATATTGCACTTAAGTGTCAATAATTGCATTGGCAAGGTAAACTTTTTCTGTATACATACAATCCAATCCCTGGGATTGTCCTCTGCCACATCTCCTATAGTCTCATGATGAGCACTGTGGGCTTTCATGCGGGAGATCAGGGTTCAAAACCTGGCTAATGCAACTTTAAGAAAAATCTCTACAAACTTCATATTGTCACACAATTACCTTAATTACAAACACCTGCTGCTGTGACAGGAACAAGCTGGTATAGAAAACACATTTGAACTTGGTCAAAGTTCATTCTGCAGGCAAAGCCATGCTGCAATGACATGCTACATGGCAATGCACACTTGTTTTTACATCGTAAAAACTCATGTCTAGTTATTGTTGTTTTTCTTGTTCATTATCTTTGTTGTGTTTTTTATTACCTCTGTAAAAACAAATTTCACCTTTGAGAGTCAATGAAGCTCTGAACTCACTTTTGTCACCATTCAGCCACAGTTTAGGTTGTGAAGTGCAGCTGAATGTTCATCCTGTGAGCAGCTGGACTAATGCAAAGAAAAATTCCCATTTTCTGAATGATTTGTCTGTTTTTTTAAACATGTAGAGTTTGCATGTAGCTCTCAGGTTGGATCAGGGTTTGGATAAGGAGGAAAGTGGAGGCAGGTTTTTTCTTGTAGTGTCAGTCTTTGATCATGTGTGTGTGTGTGAGCCAAGCCCTGGTGTGTTGGAGGCAGATGAAACACTGAGCACATATCCGGGAGTCACAGAACCCCCCACTGTCTGCCTCGCCTTCCCCTTTTCTCTCCCTCTGCTTCAACCCTTTTAGCCTCTGTTCCTCACTGAACCCATGTGAAATAGTATTCATTCAGAGTGGTTTTGTGTTGCATCACTCTGCCTGAACCTCAGCCTCCATTTTTCCCAAGCTCTTTATCAGATTATAGGCTGGCATGTGAGTGTGTGTGTGTGAGTGTGTGTGTGGATGCAGTGTGAAGGTGTCCAACAGGAATATTTAGTTTGTCTGCTGCTTCTGTCTGACTCTGTTCCATTAACAAACCAAACATTTATGTGAAACCATTAACAACAGAGGAAACAACCAGTTGATGAACCATTTAGCTGCACAATAATGATGAGAAACAGATTTTTTTTTGCTTTCACCTCCCTCTGATACCTGGACTTTATCGTAGCTCTGAAGCCATATTCTGATCAGAACAGCACGCTGACACAGAAGTAGCTATGTTTTAGATTTATTAGCCTAATTAATGACCTCATTAGCATAACTGTTATGTTTAATTTATCATGGTGATTACAGTTAGGGCATTCAGCAGCTTATTCGCCTCTTGTTTGTGCTCAGCTTAATTAATTTACCCAAACCTGCTGCTGCTTTTCATGTCTGTGGAGCTTTAAGAGCAGTCAGACATGTGAGCTGTTAGAAACATGTGCTTTAGTTTTTATGAAACGTGACTAATTATTTTCCTAAAAAGCTTTTTTTTAATTTATAGTTTTCCTATTTAGTAACTGTGTGCTGTAGCACAGTAGATGAAAATTTAGTTTATTTTTGTTTCACTCAATGTAGCCACAACAGGAACACAATGGGCCTCATGTAAGAACATGTTCGTATTCTTATCCTAAATTTCTCTTACTTTTGTTCGTACAAAGGGTTCGTACGAACATGTCACGTCAGATTCAACAAAC